GTTCTGTAAACCTTCATCTAAAGTACAATAAAAAAATAAAATAACCTATTACAAGAGATAAAAAAGGACATTACATAATAATAAAAGGGTAAAAAAGGAAAAAAAAGACCAGACTTACTAGTCTGACAGAGACTCAGTACTGAAGTCATTCCTGAGGTTCACCCTTTATTCAAAGATTAGACAGTCCCATAAAACAAAATGAGACTAAAAGGGCACACCAGCCCAGGGGCAAGGACTAGAAGGCAGGAGGGGACAGGAAAGCTGGTAATGGGGAACCCAAGGTTGAGAAGGGAGAGTGTTGACATGTTGTAGGGTTGGCAACCAATATCACAAAACAATATGTGTATTAATAGTTTAATGAGAAACTAATTTGCTCTGTAAACCTTCATCTAAAGCATGAGAAAAATAAAAAGAATGACTCCTAAGATTCTGCCTTGGAAAATGGGATGGCTGGGGTAGCACATGGTGTTCCCACCTCTGGAATACCCTCCCCCACCCATGACCCTTGTACCTGGCTAACTCCTCCTCATCCTTCAGATCTCCATTCAAGCATCACTTCTTCAGGGCCAGGTCAGAGTCTTGGTCTTCTGCTCTCAGAGAACCACCTTCCTTTGCGTGTCCACTCAGTACCTACCCCTCCAGACTGTATGTTCTGTGAGCTGATCTGGGCTCACCCTTGTACCCCCAATGCCTAGCACATAGTAAATGTTCAATAAATAAAGCCTCCAAAAGTCAGGCAGAGGAGACTGGACCGGTGTTTCTTAAGGGGAGAGGAGGTTGCTGGGTTTCAACATATGGAGACTTCCTCCACCATCACCCAGTTACTCCAAAAGGAAAGGGGTCCTCGCCTTGCCCACTTTAAGAATCTGCGTGTGATGAGGCTGTCACCGGGAACACACTTGAGTCTAGAGGTAGAAAACAGCTGGCAACCCCAGCTGTAAGCAGGGGCCTGCTGGAGGATATGGAGCAGAGGAGTGGATGAGAGCAGGCCTGAATCTGACAACTGGGGGAAGGCTTGGAGGGGAGGAGGTGCCAGGAGGGGTGTGGGGATGGCAGACAGGTCCCCCAGTGATGTTCTTCACACCAGAGATGTGGGATGATCTCGTGCAGTCCTCGCTTTCTATTAATGGTCCCCAGGGCCTCCCTCACGGGCTCTGAAGAAAGGAAATACACCACACAATCCATTGTGTAGTGTGGTTAGTTCACTAGCTTGCTGCTTTGTTCACGGCTGTGTCCAGAAAGGTGCCTGGCACATATTAGAGGCTCCAAAAGTATCTGTTGATTGGTGAATGAAGGGAGGAAGGAGCGAATGTTCTCAAGGAGCTGGGAGTCATGGGGGGTGGGGACATGCCAGGCAACAGGCCCGCAGGGATTACCATTCCCACGTGGGAAAGGTTGCTGTGCGGATTACACCAGATAATGTATATTAAAATCTTGGCACATGGAAGCCGCTTAATAAACTCAGGTTCAAAATGTAGAGAAGCTGGGTAGAATGGAAAGAGGCTAGGCAGGAAGTCACATAGGGGCCTCCCAGGGATAGCCCCACTGGAAACATTGAGGGGTCTTCTGGGAGCTCCCAGTCGGCCCCCCTGCACAGCTGACACCCCGTCCCACCCTCCCAGCAGGCAGGAATTTGCCCCGTGACCTTCCCAGGCACCCTCCTGTCGCCATGGTGACCAGCCTCGGAACAAGCGGCCTGATTGTCCCTGCTCAGCCGTGCAGGTGAAACCCAGCCACGTGACCGATACTGGGCCAGGTGCAATTACGGGACACCGGCTGCCTCCCTGCCTTAACCCATTCAACGCTGCCCGCCACCAGGGCACAGTGTGCCTGCCGCCACAGGCCCCCTGGCCCTCAGTCCCCCGCCAGAAGGGCTGTGAGGAAAAACTGGAGCACTCAGCAGGAGTCTCGCCGCTCAGAAGGAGTCCAGGCTGGGCCATGCGGGGGCTGAGTGATAGAAGCAGGTTACTTCACGTCCCCATTTCCTCACCCGTAAAATCAAGATAATGCCTCCCACTTCACAGGAAGGTAGTGGCTGCTGCGAAATGACACAGGAGTGTAGGTGACCTCCTCATGGAGGTGGGGCTTTCCCTTGTTCTGCACTCTAGGCTCTGCCACACCCACCTCAGCATATCAGGGTCTCCACAGGCGTCCCCTCCAGTGGTTTGACACCCCCCAAGAGCGAACCCCTAGACTGCTAACAGCAAGTCCACTGGCCTATTCCTAACAAGCTGGGGAAAAGGGCTGGGCAGCCCCCAGATGTTCCTCCCCAACATGCCACCACCAGGCCTTCCCAGGTAGTAGCAACCCCTCCCCTGCCACCCTCCTCTGGAGTGCTCAGGTAGAAGCCTCAAGCAGACTGGTTTTTCTGCTTGCCAGGCCCTCCCTGGCCACATGACTTGGCTGGGGTCCAAACATCTCTGGGCTGCTTTTGCCCCCAGACCCAGGGCTCTCTGGCTCCTTGGCAGATGGTCAAGGGTCTTGGGCCAGGCTCAGGTTACCCAGCTAAACACTAGGCTGGTGGGGAGGTAGGAGTTCTTTGAAACCACCTTTGAAATACTACGTATCTGAGTCACCAAGACTGTGTCAACCCCCTTCACCCTCATCCACCAATGCTAGAAAAACACCCTGCTTGGTTGTCTCCTCCTAGGGCCCCTCCTACATCCTGGACCAGCCCCATGCAGGGCTCAGATGTTCTCCTCACTCCCCTAATGACTATGCTGGCAACCAACATTCACACCACCTGCAGTGTTTAGAGTCCCCAGTGACCTGAAAGCCCTCCTCAGATTAGAACAAAACACCTGGCAAGTGCCCAGGCTGACTCGAGATGCAGGCCACTTTCTTAGGCAATGAGATGAATCCTTAAGTTAAGACATATCCTACTTCAGGCCAGCCCGAAGGAGGTGGAGGAGGGGCAGGTGTAACCCTAGTTGGCCCAGGTGTCATCTCCTGGAGGGGCATGTCTTAGTTATCTAGTGCTGCTACAACAGAAATAGATGGCTTTAACAAACATAAATTTATTCTCTCACAGTCTAGGAGGCTAGAAATCTGAATCCAGGGCACCAGCTCCAGGGGAAGGCTTTCTCTCTCTGTTGCCTCTGGGGGAAGGTCCTTGTCATCAATATTCCCCTGGTCTAGGAGCTTCTCAGCACAGGGACCCTGGGTCCAAAGGATGCACTCTGCACCCAGCTCTTCTTTCTTGGTGGTAGGAGGTCCCTCTCCTCTCTGCTGGCTTCTCTCTTTCATATCTCAAAAAAGATTGACTCAAGATACAACCTAATCTTGTGGATTGAGTCTTGCCTCATTAACATAATTGCCTCTAATCCTGCCTCAAAATATCATAGAGATAGGATTTACAACAAATAGAAAAATCACATCAGATGACAAAATGGTGGACAATCACACAATACTAGGAATCATGACACACATGTTGGGGGACACAATTCAATCCATAACAGGGCACCTGGCCCAGCCCCCAGATGAACCTTCACCTAAGCCTCAGCTAGTGCCCTAACGTTCTCTATGATCTTTCTATAAAATTACTATTGCCCTTTGTACCAGAATGAACAAAACCTCCAAGCCCAGCCCTTGAGGAGCCCCCAGCCTCTGGCGGACACAGACAAGGCCAGTTCTATAATACTACATAGCAGACTCCAACAAATGCTTTGAGAACATGGAATGGAAGAGATTGATTTCAACTGGGAAAATCTAGAAAGGCTTGAGGAGGTGGCAGCTATACTGGACCTTAAAAGATGTATAGGACTGGGGCAACTAGATACTATGGAAGGCAGTACAGCATCCCCAAAAGGGGGAGTGGTGGGGAGAAAGATGTAAAGGAAGGTGTGTCTTGTGGTTCATACCCAGGGTGCCTGGCTGGGCAGTAAGAGAATGCGGAGTATGGGTAAAAAGGTAGATCGGATCAGACTGTGGAGGAGGGGCTTGGAAAGCTATGACGAAGTTTCAACTCTCAACTTTAGGGATGGGGAGTTCCTGAAGGTTTTTGAGCAGATGAATACCAGGATTAAGTTGGCTGCAAGGGATGGACTTCAGCAGAAGCTAGGTAACAGCTGAGACAATGCCACCACAGCCACCACTGCCCCAAACTGGGGAGAGAGATGGCAGCGGGTCAGGATTCAAGGAAGCCTATTTTCGGGCAGGATGTGCTGAGTTTTCGGGGTGGAAGTCCATTTGGAGTTCATTTCTCTGCTGGTAAATGGTGTGGGTGGCACAGATCTGAGCTATTTCAGTTCAGTCCAGTAAATGCTTCCACCCTACAAACACCTGGCCAGGGTTTCACCCTGGCTTCCCACCTTGACGTGCATCAGAACAGCAGACCAGCCCGGATCAGAGTTGTGGCTCTAGTTCTGCCTCTTGGGCAAGTCACTGGCCCTCTCTGCACCTTAGCTTCCTCATCTGCAGAGGGGAATTTGGAAACGATATCTAGAGTTTCTCCTAGCTCTTTCTACAGTCAACAGCTTCAGGATGGGAAAGAAGAGCCTGGGCCCTCTGCTGCGGAGCAAGGCGTCTCCGAGCCGGCGCCTGGATGACGAGAGCCCGGGCCTGCGGCACAGAAAGTATGGCAGCCTCCCGAGGCGGCGCGTGAGGACAAAGGGGCAAGACAGGTGCGGCGCCGAACACGGACCAAGACAGGGCCTCCAAGGCTTGCCTAGGACCTGCCCCGCGGCCACCAGAGCTCGCGCCCAGAGCTGAAGAATCATAGGTGAGGTAACCGACTTCCCACGAACAGGGGCCGACTCCCGCCAGGCCTCTGCGCGGGGAGGAACGGGGCCAGGACCTTGAGAGGACTCCGCCCGGGGCGTGGCCAGGTGCAGCACTCCCGGCGGCAGGCGGGTCCCTGCGAAGATTACCTAATGCTGCACGGGGCGGAGCTGGGGCAGGCAGACGGCTCTCCGGAATTACGTACAAAACGTGACCAACGGCAGGAATTACACGGGGGGCGGAGCGCCAGCCGGAACTGGGCGCGACTCTGAGCCAAAGGGGAGGCGGGGCGTAGGTAAGACGCCTGGCACAAGGTGCGCGCCGCGTAGCAACAGCCGGGCATGCTCCGCTGGGCCCGAGCCTGGAGGCTGCCTCATGGGGGACGCGGCGCCTCCCGTCCCAGCTTCCCAAGGGTCCCCGTCGCAAACAGCAGCAGCAGCGGCGGCGGAGGCGGGGTCGAACTGAGGTCAGTCTAGGGCGCCCGGTGGGAGGCCGTCCTCTGGTCCGGCTCATCCCCCTCCCATCTGCCTCGACGGCCCTGTTCCCTCCCGTGGATCCCGCTTCATCCCAGGCCGCTCCGCATACTGCTCCCTTATTTGACTCAGAACCTCCCTCCATCCCCGCCTCTCCCGGCAGGCCGCTTCCGCTTTCCTTCACGCTTCTGGACGGGGAGGCGGGCCGTCCCGCCCTCGTCTTTCTACACGGGGTATGCGGCTGCAAAAACAACTTCAACTCTGTCGCCAAGGCCCTGGCCCGGCGGACAGGCCGGAAGGTGAGCTTCCGGGCGGGGCGGAGCCCCAGTGGGGGTGGAGCCTGGGGGCGGAGCCAGCCTCTCAGCTCTCTCTGCCGGGGGCCGGCTGAAGAGTGGCACGCGGTTCTTGGAGCTGAACGTAACCCAGCAGTAGAAATGAAAGGAGTTGTCCTTCCAACGATGGAGGTTAAACCCACATTCATTCTCACAACCTTCCATCCATCCAGACCTTCATTCAACAGACATGTTATAGATCTGCGTGCGCCGCACTGAGCTAGGCTCTGCCGCCCTATGCCTAAGTGCCATACTCTCTCCACAAAGGGGGCAGACCCTGGCTGTTCACCAGGCATGACAGGGAGACCCTGACCTCTTACGGCAGCCCGGCCTCTATGCCCCGAATGTTGGAAATTTTTGGAGCCTCTTTCCAGCCTTCTTTGGGGTTGTCACCCAGCCAGGCCAGACCTTAAGAAGTGCGGTCACACCCATTGGGTCTTCTCTTCTCTGGCAGAGTAGCCCCAAGTTCCTCACCTGGACCTCCTGTGTCTGGGAACTGGGCCCTCTATCACCATCCCTTCCCCCTGGTCAGGATCTGCCCCCAGGCTCCACACCCTGTGACCTGCAATTCCTGCCAGGCCTTTGATGTCTAGGCCCCGAAGGTGGATGCCAGCTGTGCCTCCCTCTCACCCTGTTCCCCAGGTGCTGACAGTGGATGCTCGGAACCATGGTGACAGCCCCCACAGCCCAGACATGAGCTACGAGGCCATGAGCCGGGACCTGCAGGACCTCCTGCCCCAGCTGGGCCTGGTGCCCTGCATCCTCGTTGGCCACAGCATGGGAGGCAAGACAGCCATGCTGCTGGCACTACAGAGGGTGAGTCACCCCATCTGGGGTCTCCTCCCACCCATATAGACCCTGAGTGCCCAGGAGGCAATCTGGGACTCAAATGAGCCTTGGATGGCCAAAGTGGAGAAGTTCAGGCTCCAGGAACTGTGTGAGGCCCACTGTGCTCACCCTGAGGCTGGTCCCCAGTCTAGTTCTCTCCCACAGCCAGACCTGGTGGAACGCCTGATTGCTGTGGACAGCAGCCCAGCGGAGACCACATTCCTCTCGAACTTGCCCTCCTACGTGGCTGCCATGAGGGCTGTAGAAATCCCAGATGAGGTACCCCGCTCCCATGCCCGCAAACTGGCCGATGAGCAGCTCAGCCCTGTAGTCCAGGTGATGCCCCATGCCCCCAGATGGTGTGCAGGGCTGGGACCTGTCAAGGAAAGAGTGGTGACCCCAGGCCTCACAGGGACATCCCAACTACCGAACCCCACAGGACGTAGTCACGCGGCAGTTCCTGCTCACTAACCTAGTGGAGGTGGATGGGCGCTTTGTATGGAGGGTGAACTTGGATGCCGTGGCCCAGCATTTGCAGGAGCTCTTGGCCTTCCCACCTCGACAGGAATCCTACCTTGGGCCAACCCTCTTCCTCCTTGGTGGCAACTCCCAATTTGTGCAGTAAGCCAGGCTAGTGGGGGGAGGGACATGCCTTACCCAGTCCCCAGCCTGGTATCCTGCCTGCGGGAGGGCTTGGGCATAGACAGGGGCCCTCTGAGGGCCTGGAAACACCCCTGCGCATGCTGACTCATGAGGCTGCCCATCTCTCCTCGCCACCCCTTTCCCGGCTCTGCCTCCACTTCTCTCTGTCTTTCTACTTCCATCCCTCCTTGGTGGCCTTCTCTGCGGTGACAGCCCCAGCCACTACCCTGAGATTAGGAGGCTATTCCCTCGGGCCCAGATGCAGACTGTGCTGAATGCTGGCCACTGGATCCACGCTGACCGCCCACAAGACTTCATGGCTGCCATCCAAGGCTTCCTGGCCTGAGAGCCCTGCATTCCTGGCAAGAGGGAGCACAAACCCCCAGGCTTCAAGGCCCTGCAGCCTCTCCACGTTTGTGCACAGAGGGACTCAGGCAGGCACTGAAAGGGCACAAGGGTGCAGAGGTGATCAGGCCTCAAGCTTTAATAAAAACACCGCTCCCAAGGCCTGGGCTGAGTTCTTTTGTCACCAACGCCCCCACCAACCCAATGGGGATTGAGCCCAGGGGGCCCGGGCAGCTCCAGGGTCCACGTGGGCTCCCAGAGAGCCCCTGGACTCTCTCTGCAGCTGACTCTGGACCCGCTGCCTCACCAGCTGCCGCATGTCCTCCTGTGGGCAGGAGACCAGGTTCAGGGGCTGACCTGGACCCTTTGCCCTCACCTCCCAGGCGAGGCTGGCACTCCCGCTCTACCTCCCAGGCTTCCACCTCCTGCCTCAGTCTCAGTTTCTCCTCCAGGACCTCCAGCAGCTGCGCCTCCACAGCTCGCAACTGGGCTCGGCATATGTCCAGCTCAGCCTCCACAGCCTGCTTCCTGTGGGTGGTAGGGAGGGCAGCCTGAGCCTCAGGGCTCTGCAGATTGGGTGGCTTTTTTTCCAGGAACGCCCAACTGCCCCCTCCTTCCTCTAGCAGGACAGAGCCCTCAGGGTGAAACACCCCTGCCCCCCAGCCCCTGCAGCGGCTGTTCCTCACTTGGCAATGGCTTCATCCCGCTCCTGGAGGACTTGGTCCAGTGAGGGCTCTGTCTGGGTACCCCCCAGTGCTCCAGCCACTTAGGATTCTGGGCTCTGTTCAGGTTGACAGAGGAGGAGGTAGTGATCAGTAGCTTACCTGAATGAAGCGCCCCACTCGGGGCCCTTCCACCCTGACTTGGCCCAGACACTGGGAGGGGAGGGGTCTGAGGTGTCCTGTGCCTGCCCCCCACTCCACCAGTCTCATGGACCTCTGGAAAGTAGGGACTTGGGGTCATGCTGAGGGGGTGATAGGTGTGAATCCTGCCTGGCCTAAGGGCAAGTAGAGTGGGCAGGGTGTTTGGACGCTTGATGAGGAAAGGACTTGTCACCCACCCCCAGGAGAGAAGACAAGGTGGGTTCAGAAGGACACTTACCCTTCAAAGGCCCCAGAGAAAGAGGTGGCCTGGTGACTGGGACTCTTGTCAGTGGGGTGGGGCAGGAGGACAGAGCCCTTTGCCTTCCCTTCCGGGGGAGGGCACTCCCTGTCAAACTCCGCCCCTGGCAGGTCTGCCCCAGGCAAGCAGGAGGCCCAGGCCTCTGCTTCCCTCTTGGGTCCTGGGGCCATCTCCAGGTCCAGAGCTTTCTCAGCTCTTCCCTGCCTGTCACATGCAGCCCCTCACCCCAAGGGGGCACTCTTCCCACGTCTTGAGGTGAGAAAGGGGAAGAGCCAGGACTTGGCCCCAAGACTGCTCCGTTGCTGAGAGACCTAAGGTGCTGCAGCGCATCCGGAAGGGTTTGCATCTTGGCACCTTGAGTAACATCATCGACACTCAAGTTCAACTCCTTACCTCAGCAGAGAACAAGAGGAAAAAACGTCTAAATACTCCTTGCAAACTCTTAACATCTCAAATACCCATCCTCCCTAGTGCTGTCTTTGGCTCACTGTTAGGCGCTTTTGAGTAGGTTCTAACTTACGGTGACCCCGTGTACAACAGAACAATACACTGCCCAGTCCTGCACCATCCTCACAGTCGTTGCTATGTTTGAGCCCATTGTTACAGCCACTGTGTCAATCCATTCTGTTGAAGGTCTTTTTTGCTGACCCTTTACCAAACATGATGTCCTTCTTCAGGGACTGGTCCCTACTGACAATATGTCCAAAGTATGTAACACGAGGTCTTGCCATCCTTGCTTCTAAGGGGCATTCTGGCTGTACTTCTTCCAAGACTGATTTGTTCATTATTCTGGCAGTCCATGGTATATTCTTCACCAACACCATAATTCAGAGGTGTCAGTTCTTCAGTCTTCCTTATTTATTGTCCAGCTTTCGCATGCATATGAGGCAATTGAAAATATCATGGCTTGAATCAGGCATACCTTAGTCCTCAAAGTGATATATTTGCTTTTTAACACTTTAAAGAGGTGTTTTGCAGCAGATTTGCCCAGTGCAGTACGTCATTTAATTTCTTGACTGCTGCTTCCATGGACATTGACTGTGGATCCAAGCAAAATAAAATCCTTGACAACTTCAGTCTTTTCTCTGTTTATCATGATGTTGCTTATTAGTCCAGTTGTGATGATTTTTGTTTTATGTTGAGGTGTAATCCATACTGAAAGCTGTGGTCTTTGATCTTCATCAGTAAGTGCTTCAAGTCCTCTTCGCATTAAGTAAGCAAGGTTGTGTCACCTGCATATCGCAGGCTCACTAAAAAAAAACCAAACCCATTGCCATTGAGTCAATTCTGATTCACAGAGCCTATAGGACAGAGTAGAACTGCCCCATCGGGTTTGCGAGGAGGCTGGTCGATTTGAACTGCTGACCTTTTGGTTAGCAGCCAAGCTCTTAGCCACTGTACCACCAAGGCTTCACAGGCTCACTACTCCTCCTGTATTCCCAACATTCTACGCTGTGAGCAAGTGTGGGTCAGCTGTGCCCTCGGGTCTCAGCCTCCACAACTCACTCAAGGTGAGCGCTGCCATCCACAGCACATTGAGCGTGCATGTATGTAAAACATGTAAAAGGGGATTTTCCCTGTGCAGAGGCCTTTTCAGCAAAGTTACATCTTGGGGATTAATTAGGTCCTTAACTCAGCCCTGAATAGTAAATACTTCTTTACGACCCCAGGGCGCCCCCTGCTGAGATGGCTCCAGATTGTCCGTCGTCTCAGCCAGGTGAGGGCTCTCCCCACAGTTGGATGTGACAGTTTGTTTAACTGAGCCCAAGTGAAGAGGTAGGCTTCATCCGTACCCCAAATACATCCCTTTTGTTGGGGAGAGTCATTCGTTGTGTTTTCAGAGCCTGCTCTGTGCCACGTCCCAGACAGGGCCTGGCCTCTGGGGCTGCAGGAATGAAACATAGGTACAACCATAGGAGGCAGTAGAGGCTCCGGGGGCAGAGGGAGCACCAAGGGGGCCCCACTCATACCCAGGCTTGTCTTTGAAACCATATCAGACGTGTTGCTCTTCAAACTTGCTGTTCAGTGTCCGAAAAATATCCTTTTAGGGTTAAAAAAAAAAAAAAATCCAACCCTACAGTATCAAACATAGTACCCAGTTGTCATATCTCTGTCATCTCCCTCAATTTAGAACAATTCACAGCCTTTCCTTGAGTTTCATGACCTTGACATTTTTTAAGATTACCCAAACCCACTGCCATCAAGTCGATTCTGACTCACAGTGACCGTATAGGACAGGTTGAACTGCCCCTTAGGGTTTCCAAGGCTATAAATCTTTATGGAAGCAGACTGTCACATCTTTCTCCCACAGAGCAGCTGGCAAGTTCAAAACGCTGACCTTTCTGTTAGCAGCCAAGCACTTTAACCACTGCGCCACCAGGGCTACTCTTTAAGATTACAGAGAAGTTATTTTAAAGACTGCCCTATAATATAGGTTTAGCCAGTCCTTCCTCATGATTAAACTATCATGCATGGAAGCTACAAAAATGTTGCTGTGTTCTCAGTGTATCCAATGTTAATTGGAACCATGCTCACTTGATTAAGATGATGTTGCCATTGTAAAGTTACTTTCTTTCCCTTTGTAGTAAGTATTGGGGGAGAGGAGATAATTTGAGACTATAAAAAATCCTTTTCATCTCACTTTCACCCATAGGTTTTAGCATCTATTGATGCTTCATGCCCTAATTAATTATTATTACAAAGGTTGTCATATGGTGAATTTTCTAGTTTCATCCGTCTACATTTATTATTGGCATTCTATTGCAAAGAAGAACTTTGTCTCTCCCCTCCCACATTTATTGATTCATTTAGCTATTTACGTCAGGTGGACTCATGGTTTCCCGTTTTATTCAATGGATTGTAATCCATTACTGTCATTATATATTTTGCTGTTCAGATCATCCCAGGCTTGGTCAATGGATGCCCCTTACTGCCTTGTTATTTTGACATGTCTCATCATTCTTTAAACACTTCCTTTCTTTCTAGCTCAGCAAGGTATTCCAAGCTTATCTTATTTTTCTCTGCCCCAGCCCTGGAACTGGCCATTTCTCCAAAGATCCCTCATTCATTTTAGTGGGAAATGGTATTTAGAAACCAAGATCAGGGTGTTAAGTGTGCTCATGACAATTAGAATGATCCTTCTCCCAGGTCCACTCAGTGGACACACATTTATACACACACAAACATACACATTTACATCTATGTTTATTTCTATGTCTGTCTACATATATTGAAAACCACAAGTTTACATTTCGACCTCGAATTCTAATCCAGTGACACTGGTTTCATTCTAATCTTCCCCCTTTCCATAGTTTTACCCATGGTGTAAATGATGAAGCACTGGGCAACTAACCAGAAGATTGGCGGTTCAAACCCGCCCAGAGGCACCTGTGAAGAAAGGCCTAGCAATCTGCTTCTAAAAGGTCAAAACCAAAACCAAACCCATCGCCTTTGAGTAGATTCTGACTTGGCAACCCCGTGTGTTACAGAGTAAAATTGCTCCATAGGGTTTTCTTGGCTGTAATCTTTACAGAAGGACATCACTAGGCCTTTCTTCTGTGGTGCCACTGGGTGGGTTTGAGCCCCCAACCTTTAGGTTAGTAGTCAAGTGCAAACCATTTGTGCCACTCAGGAACCTTTCCGAAAGGTCACAGCCATGAAAAAAAAAAACTCAATGGAACACAGTTCTACGCTGAAACACATGAGGCTGCCATGAGTCAGAATCCACTTGAAGGCAACTGGTTTGGGTTATTTTTGGTTGTTATTGTTTTTCCCCAGTGTATGGGCTTGGCTCCTACAGGGCTGCCTTCCCACCCTACTCTGATGCCCTTCTCCTTATGCATGACCCTGGCTGCCACTGTGCTATCAAACATATTTCTAAGTGTTTTACAGTCATTCATTCCACAAATATTTATTGAGCACCTACTATGTTCCAGGCAAGTTAGCAAGGCAGACAAAATTCCATGAGCTCATGGAGTGCACATTCTAGTGGGGGAAATAGACAATAGACAAATGAACAAGTAGATAAGATGCTA